TATATATATATATATATATATATATATATCTGTCCAACGTTTGTAAAACTTACCAAAAGAGGAAAATGGTAATGCTGTGCAAGTACCGTGAGAAAGGGTATAATAAGGGAATTTATTCAAGCTGGAAATATCAGTTGTATAATACATAACATACTTCCTGAATCGGACTGCATTAAATATTTTAAGAATATTATGAGTGACTAAACCAATAACCATTCTAATAAATGACCATATTATTGTGTTGCCATTTGGTTCAGTTGCTAACTATCTCAAACCTTCATGTATTGTGACACAATACAAAAATCTATATTATAACAGTTGTAAGCAAAAACTTGAAAGTTGCTTCAATTCTCTATCCTAATACAGGTAAAATTCTATTTTGTTGTTGTATTAGAAATATGTTCATCTATCAGAAATAACATTATATATAATATATATTTACCTTTCTTTCAAAAGCTTTCAATAAATTATAATTTGGAGTAATCTTTTCTTTCAACTGATACTCAAAGAAGAATAACTTGATTTCTATGCATAAAGTGCTTATAGAGTTTAGTATAATTAACATTTAAATGATAAAATTTACAGATTTTTCTTCATTAAACTTATGCACAGCTTTTATTAATTAATGTATATGCCTACTTTCTATGTTAATTGATACATTTATAATTATTTTTGCTGCTGTGGCAAATCATGCAAATCTTATTACTGCAACTCTTAAGTTTCATCTGCTAGTGGCAACATGATGAAAGACTATTAGAAGCAGAGATTTTATAGTACCTTGGCCTTTTATGATGTTTTTTGAGGTCAGGAAGAGTAATAACTGGAGAAGTTGGCTCTTTTTCAACTTCAGGTGACATGGTTACATCTTCCTCAGTTATTCCTGGTGGTAAAGGCAAATCTCTGATACTTTTTCTGCGAACATAAACTGGTGTATCTGACTTTTCAACCACCTCTGGTGTCTTCTCCTTTGGTTCTATGGTTGGAGGTAATGGTAATGATGGAAGTGTTGGAAGAGGCGGAAGAGGTGGTTTTTCATCAGGAGGTGGGGGTGGTGGAATTGTTATTAAAGTTTCGGGTTTTATTTGTGATTCAGCTACTATTGAGGTTTTCTGATTCTCTACTGCTGGTAATATCTCAGCATCCTCTATTTCCACAGTCTTCTCAGCTGCTGAGATTGGAATGGGATCAGTAACAACAACAGATATAGCAGTAGAAACATTAGCTGTGGTGGTTCCATTTTCTTGCTGTTTCTCTAAAGAGGTTCCTTCCCCTGTTAAATTAGTTCTTTGTTTCTTCTTTGCTAACTGTCTAGCCTTACGATGTTTACTAAGTTCAGCTGCAAGACTAGTAGCAAATTTTGGGTCAGAGAGACTTGGACTACGTTCCTTTCGCCTTCGACTGTTGTATGGTGATCTTGAACGAGATCTAGATCGTCTTGATCGAGATTTTAGTGGTGGACTTCGGCTATGTGAATGTGATTTTCGTGATCTTCTGGACCTATGAAAATAAAATCATTAACTTGTATTTATATTATTTTTTTCATTGTTACTCAGGGTTAAAAAAAAAGCTTCAAAATCGCTTGCCAAAATATTAGACAAGTTTTAGTAACACTAACCTAAACAATCATATAAAAAATGTAGTTTCAACTGAGATTAAATTTAAAAACTGATAATTCTGTATTAATTGAAGATAATTACAAGGTCAAAGTTATACAATAAATAAATGACAGTTAAACACTTCAGTGCATAGTATTAGGTTGGTGATAAATACTGTTTATAAGAAAAATATTTGCCTTGACAATTTACAGTAGTATTACTTGCTTCTTAGAATTAGTAAACTATATGCTATATACTATATAAAGCTATTTAATAGTTAAGCCTAAAGTGACAATAAATTTACAAAATTAATACAAAGTAATTTTTATTGTTTATCAATTTCCACTTTGTAGAAAATTTTACATACACTGTGCAACTCCTTTAACTAACAAAATACAAACAGGATGAGAAAGGCCATTCTCCCACCAAAATTATCTAAATGTTGAAAGTGGTACAGCTAATACTTGCAAGCATTTTGCATATATGAATTATGCCAAACGTTGTGTGTGAAGAGGTATACAAATTAATTCAACATCAAATAATTAATTTAGATTTAACTTTTGAGATTTATCTTGAATACATAAAACCAAACTAAAGATTTAAATTTTATCAGATGTGCAGAGAGCTAGCAGGTTTAAAGATTGTTTAAATTCTAAACACAGGAATATCAAGTTTACAGTTGAAGAACAATGAGAATCTAAATTGTCTTTTTTATATCTAAGGTCATCACCAACCTGAACAACAGGTTTGAAACCAGATACTATTACAATTCAACATTTTCTGGTCTGTACTGTCATTTCAGCACATTCACACTTAATTGTAACAAAATTAATTTAATAAGCATTCTATTTCATAGAACATATAAACTTACTAGCCCTTATTGTAATTTTCATGATAAAGTTATCAATATTAAAAAATATTTTGATTAAAAATGCCTTTCCTCTAGCACCCATCAACAAAAGTATTTTTGAACATATTAATAAAGTTTACAACCCCATAATTCCAGACTTCAATGTTCCCAAATGTCCTATCACCTTTGGTGTTACTTTACCCTTCACTGGTTCTCATGGCATCAAACTAAAGAAAAAATCAAAAACATTCTGCAATCAACATATCCCTAAGTCAGCTTCAGAGTGATCTTCAAACCAAACAAACAAATATGCAACTTTTTCCTTTTTAAAGACAAAATACCTCCTTCAAACAAAAATCACTGGTGGTGTATTAATACACATGTCCAGGCAGTAAGCATGACTACATAAGGTCAATGACACAAACCCCAGTTAAGGACCATGCATAACTCTGGAATTTACAACCATCTAAAGACTGTAGCAAAAAGCCTAACATCAAACCTTCAAAATAATAGACTCAGCATCAGATGAATGGACATTAAGGAAAAAGGAAGTGATATGAATAGTTATGGATACAAGAAGACGTTTCTGTGCCATGTGTGGCATATATTACACAGGCTTAATGGATATTACTGCAATTATGGAGGTGAACAAATATTGAATTGAACTATCTTGGATGAAAAAATTAACACAATGGAACTAAAAAGTTGATTCAATGCATATTATACATTAGTTTTAGCTTTCTGATATATTGATTTATTTAATTAAATATTTCTTATTAGTTTGTTATACAGGATTACTTTAATTTTTATAAATTACTTTTTAAAACATTTTAGTCTGACCTACATAACTTACTTTTGATCAGAAGTCCTTAACAATAATCACTTATGTAGAAGGTTAACTCATTTTGTATAAAGCTATC